ATTTTCACTCATCTCTTTACCGTACAGCATTATAACACTTGCTTTAATAGTCTCATCTCTTTCTACAGCACCCAAAGGTGGTAAAGATGCCAGTGTCTGTCCTTTGTGTCGAACAGTAGTTGGTCCAGAGGAAGAGGTAAAGACTTTGTTGGTTTGTTTAGTGTAAGCTGTAACTTCTTTATACAAAACCATGACAACAAAAGCAGCAACAGCAACAATGTCAATTCTTGGGTTACATGTTACATCGTAGCTGCCATGTTGGGAAGCACAGGTGATGTAGCGGTGAGAGAGCTCTCCTCTCATCAATGCGACCCGAGTTCGAGTTCCGCTGAGCTCAGTGTCGTATGTGAGTAGAGTTGTTTGTTGGTTCTCTCCTGTGCTTCGAAGATTTTCCAGGTTCTCCAGCTTTCCTCCCTCTGCAAAAATCAACTCCTAAATTCCAATTGGAATTACAGTGGACGAATAGCTACTCTGTAGAAATGTCACTGTTAAATCCCATTTATTTTATTTTATTTTATTTATTTGTTGGTTGACGATAACAAAGCATTCTTCATTAGCTTCTCTTGTTAGATCAACCAACATGGCGGCTGTTTCATTGTTATTCATATCTCAAGCGATTTTGAGTCACATGGTTGCACACACTCTATAGAGCATGTGCACGTTACGTCATTGCCGCCATCTTGGTTGATGATAACAAAGCATTTTTCATTAGCTTCTCTTGTTAGATCAACCAATATGCTGGCTGTTTCATCGTTATTATATTTCGAGGGATTTTAAAACATGGTTGCACCCAAAGGATAAAGGCTTGCAGGAACGAACTCTAGCTAATCAAAGATTATGCTTATTTTAGGCTTGGCGTAGCCATCTAATGGAAAACTGYAAAACTAACAAAGTTCGCCTACAGCAACAGCAAGGTAAGAATCAACCCTATTTTATGATGACGAAATATGTGCTGTCTGCAGTTATAAAGCACAAGGAGGTTGGCAGAACACAAGAGAAGGAGATGACCTGTAACTGAGTGCTTCTCAACACTTCTCAAATGTTCTGCCAATCCCAGCATACTTTATAACAGCACACAGCACAGCAAGCAGGTTTTTTTGTTTATAGAATACAAATTACAATGAGCATTATTTAGAATAGGAATGATGCAACTGAAAGTGTGCACATGTGCTGTGTGCTCTCATAAACCATACATTTCCAACCAATCAGAATGCCAGATTCATAACTGTTATTTTATAAGGCTAGGTAGAAACATTTTGTTTGAACTTGAATAATTTTTTTTTTACCAACAGCGAGCAAAGCACCAAGCAGAGCAAGTCTACGTAGTAATAGGGGTAGAGGGGGCAAGACCACGCCCTCAACAAGAGGGATAGGCAGAGGAAGACAGGGAACCTTACCTCGATGAGTCTGAAAAATAACTTTGTAACTAACATGWTCACAACTTTACATGCAGAAACACCGTATATCCAAAACTGTGTTAATTTTGGGGTACCACTGGCCAGAATTGGAAGCATTTCATGATTCATAATTTTCGCATTGTCCAGTTTTGCTACAATATATAGACCCAGATTTCCATTGGCAATTCTCAGCAGTCTTGACAAATGAGCATGCATAACTTTGTAACTTATTATCATGAGATTTTCTTGGCTCCTAGTAAGAGCTGTCTATCACTACACAGGGATCTCACTTTGATGGTCGTTGTGGTGTGGGAAGCCAGGGGGGGAAGGGKAGGGGCATGACAAAGACTAGGTGTAGGGTGTCCATGGTATTCACTCTTCCCTGATATACATGTAAACTATATAACACCAGTGATAGAGTTCACACCATACATCCGTGAAAAAGTTGCTAGTAACAAAATTGTACAA